ACAGACCCTCCACTCTGAGTGGTCCCAAATTCCCAGTGAACCTCATGGCCTAAGAAGGCTGCTGAAACTCCAGATATCAAATACACAGGGGCTGCTCGAAGAAGAGGCTGACATAGCAGGCAGAGGCCAGACCTTGAACTGTGGAAACTGTGCTATATGAGCATAGACATTGTCTTACAGGCAGTGAGAAAGGATTTCAATATTGAGCAGAAGGCAGACATGGTTGGCTATGTATAAATCCTTTTGGCAGCCTTGTGGATGGCTTGGAGAAGCTCAGGATGGAAGACAGTGGGCTAATGCAGGATCTGGGTGAGAGAAAAGCAGATGGATGAGATAGGAGGTGGTAGCGAGGCAGAGAGCACAACCTGCACTTTCTGAGATGGCCAATAAAAAAGAAAGGAAGAAAGAGATATAGGCCAACAGGATTGACTTCCTTCCAGCTCAAACAAATGGGTATGAGAACATGAGCAGCCTGTTCTGTGGGTTGTCTACAGAAGAAGCAAGTTTCAGAGAAGAAAGGAGGAAGAAGGCTCTGTGCACAGATGATGGATTGTATAAGGTAAATGTTCACAATAAAAAAAAAAATTGCTAAGCATGGTTCAAAAGGATCAGAGAGATCTAGGCTAAGAAAGGGAGTCTGATGGGGATAAAATTATTTGGAAATGGGCAATTTTGGGAACTTCCTTTTCTCTGAATGATCAAGAACAATGGTGGGGAATGTGGAGGTGGAGAATTGGTTCCAGGGCCTGGTCTCAAATATCTGGACTGATCCAGATCATTTTCTGGTCAGCATCAGCTCACAGGGCCAGGCAACACCAGACCTGGTCTGAGAGGATAAGCTTCCCATGAGCTAAAGAGGGCCATGATTTGTTCCAGAATGATACCTGGCACTCTAGGCTCCCTTGGAGCTACCTGGCCCTTTGGTAGTTATGCAAATAACACCACTGCCATTACCGAGCCCTGGGTACCCCGTGACCCAGCAGTCACTAAGGAGGAACATAGTGGGTCCCATGGGATTTCTTGATTGGCTCTACAAGGCCTAGAAAAACAGCTTCCTTATTCAACCTGCTGATGTTATAGCTGTTGCAATGGTTACTTGTCATGTACTACATCTTAATTTACAACTTCATAAGTTACATGTAAGATGTAAGAATCCTGAGATGCCTGGATGGCTCAGTGGGTTAAGTGTCTACCTCCAGCTTGGGTCATGATCCCAGGACCCTGGGATCAAGTCCCACCTCAGGGTCCTTGCAGCAAGCCTGCTTCTCCCTCTGCCTGCTGAAACCCTGCTTATGTGCTCTCTCTCCATGACAAATAAATAAATAAAATCTTAAAAAAAAAGTTATAAGAATCCTATCCTTAGCTAACCTTAGGCATTTGCATTACTCACCAGTCACTTGTTTATCTTTTTTTTTAATGTTATCCAGAAATGTGTTAACACCAGTGAGTACCAGTATATTTTGGGAAAAGCTTTTCTTTGTTATGTCCTCACAGGGGGTCTCCATGTTGGGGTGTTGCAGGGAAACTCAGAGCCCATCCCTACTCAGGCAAATTCTCATACTCCCCTCCCTTACTACAGACAATAGAATATGGACCATGTTGCCAAACTTCAGAGATACAGAAAGACAGATAATAGGTAGAGATCCAGAGACAAAAATAGTCATGAATATAGGGAGATAGGGAGAGAGGGAGAGAGAGAGAGAGAGAGAGAGAGAGAGAGAGAGAGAGATTATGTAATTTACAGTCTACCGGGGAGGAGAGATCAGAGAAAGAGAGCAATCACTCATTGTAGCAAGAGCTAGAAGGAAATGGTTCTGAGGCTGAGAATGAGCACAGAATAGAGAGGGATTCACTTTACATAGAGAAGTCAAAAACTCTCCAAGAGCTGCCTCTGGCGATAGGTGAGGAATGTATAGGAGTCCTAGGGCAGATAGGTGAACTACTGGAGATGCCAAAGGCAACAAGGAACACAAGGTAGCAGCAAAGACAAGTGGCAAGAGAGAGAAGTGGAGAGTCAACCGCCCAAACAGTTGGCTAAGATCACCTCTGAATTTCTCAACATTTTCTCTACATAATAAAATTGGTAAAATTGAATTTAAATTATGTAAATAACTAAACTTTATATTTTCCTTGTATTAAAATAATTTCATAAAAGATTTGTAATTTACTTGAAAATCAATTCTATGATGTCATTTCCTAAACAGCCTCCAAATGCCTTCATCATAAAAGGTCCACATGAAGTAAAAGACTTGCATCAACTCAAGGTTCAAGCTATTTATCATGGCAAAACTCCAGTTAATTGTGAGTCAAAGGGAAAACTTTTTGCACACAAAATTAAAGGAAACATTTATAGCACTGATAGTCACTTTAATGTACTTTTTTATTTACAAAAGCCTCCATTGCAAAGTTGAATTTTGGAAAGTTCGATGATCATGTCATGCACAGTAAAATTTGTGTACAGTAGAGATTAAATGCAGGGTTTTTTATTATTCTATTATTGATTGACTCGATATGAAGTAACTGTTCAGGTTCAGTTGTCTTACTCTGAAAACGCCCTTGAGGGAGTAAGTGATCCTGTGTCTACTCAACACAAGCAACTAAAAACTGCAAATAGTAATGTCAATTTGCTTTGAAATGTGATTAACTGACCTTATCATGCCTACAGCTTATTTCTGAAGTCTAAAAATATTAAGTTCAAAAAACTTTACAAGAATGTAATGAATGCACTGGAGTTTTCCAATATGTTGACAAAATACTCCCCTAACAAATATCTTGTCCACTGTCTTAGAGGACTAAATTTTTTCTTCTTTGGAATGCCCTTGGAAATTTTTCACTAAAAGAACAGCATGGAAGAAAGAACTTGGGGAAGGGGAGAAATGGAAGAAGAGAACCTTACAAAGTGTTCTTAGCAGGTTAAAGAATTTTTGCCTGGTAGAACAGATTTGACAATTTTAATATCAACCTTCTGTGTTACTGTCCTTACATAATTTTTTTTCTACTTTAAGGGAAGATGGTTGATGGGTCCTAAGCCTAAACTTATGAAGAACTGATTAGCTCATCAACAAGCTCCCAGTGTATGATGTCTGTAAAAACACCTGGATATGCCCATCAGTGTCCTCCCCAATGGTGGAGATCTGCCTTCTAAGACGTGCCAGCAGGGCATCTGACCAGGACACTTAATACATGGTTTATAACAGACCAACCAGCACAAGACAGGTGGGGCCGGTGGCTTTTCTTACTTACTACTGACAGCCACTCTTCTGGCTCCCTGTCTTTTAAAATGAGTCCTACAACAATATCTATAAATGAAATATTTGCTACAATACTGTCATCGAACAAAAGTCATGAGGGTTTCACAGGTGAGTACAATTAGAATATGTCTAGTCCTACCCATTTGTTCTCTGCAATCTAATTAGAAGTGTCACAGCTGCTAGACAACAGGATATATAGGAATGCTATGTAACCAAAGAACTGTAGCAAACTCATAATCACTATCATTTCACATTGTTTTACAGTTCTTAGAGAATTTGCTTTAGGATAACACAGTCCATGCCTTCACCAGGCATCCTTGACTCTGGTTTCAAACAGCTTCCCAAACCTTTATTTGACAAACAAATAAAACAGGGATATAAAATCAGAGACCTCAACACTGGAATTCATTTTGGATTGTTACTCATGACTGGTAGAATTTTTCTGCTTTCAGCCTAACAATGACAGTATGTATACTATGAAATAATTTGTTTTCTTATTTATTTATTTAAGAGAGAGCACCTGTGGGGGCACAGGCAGAGGGAGAAGGACAAAAAGACTCCCCACTGAGCCAGAAGTGGATGCAGGCCTGAATCCCAAGACCCTGAGATCATCACAACCTGAAACCCCCAACTGACTGAGCCACCCAGGCACCCCTGAAATAATTTGTTTTCAAAGACATTTTCCCCACTGATGTAAAACAAGTAGGTAAACATACCGGGGAATACTGTAGGTTTTGTGCTCCTGGCTGAGCTAACACATTTTATTGCTATCTTAATTCAAAGAGGGTGTCCCATCTGTGGTTAAGAAGACCAGAAACTCCTCCTACATTAAAAAACACAGAGCCTGCCTTTCAAATAAGTTAAAGACCAGTTTTACTGGGATATTTTTCAGAAAAGCAAGGTTGGATTGTACCCCACAGACAAGTGGCAGTTGTCAACCAGTCTCTTTGGGAGGCTGCCTTTTTAACTAGCTTAACATTACTGATGGCTTTTCCCAGATTCTACCCACAGCCTCTACTTCCACCTCCAAGAATGAAGGAAAGGGAGTTGAAGGACTATTCCAAGTTACCTTTGCTCCCAGTAACATCACTCAAATCTTGAGGGTTATCTTGTTCCAGGCTACCTCCAGGCATCATAGCAAAAACATAACCAAAAACGTAGCTCAGCGTTAAAGGCAAGCTCCTCAGCCTCCTACACCCTGCAAAACAATGTCGGGATAACACACCTGCTAATTCTTGAAGCTCCTCCAAGTTTCCCCAGATCTACCTGAAGATCTGAAGCCTCTCGTGGTGCGACGCTCACCATCCAAAATACCCCTCACGCAGCGTGCACAACATATTTTCAGACGACCTTGATTCACAGTGCAGTCCATCGAAGGGGCTGCGAACCCAAAAGACAGCAACAAAATCAAAACTTCTGGGTACAGAATCCCCAAGTACCCTGACAGGGACTCTCCAAGTGGGACAGTGCGCCCAGACCCAGGAGCCAATAGGTGGCTGGCCCAGGCGTTGCCATGGCCACGTTGTGTGTTAGGGCCGCGCACGCACCCCGCGTGCGCTCCCGGAAGCCAATCGGCAGCCGGTCTAGGCGTTGCCATGGCCACTCTGCGAGTTTAGGGCCGCGCGAGCGCGCGCGCGCGCGCTTGGAGTCGGGGAGAGTCCGCCCAGCTACCCCCGCCCGGGCCAAGCAAGGGTCGCGTTAGCCACGCGCCCCTAGACACCCGCCGCTCCCCAATTCCCTACCGCCGGCATGAACCGCAAGAAGCTGCAGAAGTTGACGGACACCTTAATTAAAAATTGCAAGCACTGTAAGTAAGAATCAAGTGCTGGATGAGAAGTTTCTGGAAGGGCTTGTGTTCTACCTGGTAAAAGTGCCCTCTGCTCAGCCTGCTTCCCACCTCCAGTCTGAGTGCTCCTGGAGCCCCCTTAATGTCCGCTAAAGAGAAGTCTGGAAGGGACTCTCTGGATGGTAGGTAGTGCCTTGGCCAGCTACCCATGCTTGCCCATGATCTTAAGGACCAGTATATAGGTATCCAGGCATATAATACTACACTCCCACACATGCACTAACTTGCTTCTCAAACCCTCTTCTTAACTTACCTTTCCATTATAGAAACATTATTTTTATACTGACACAACATGTGTGGTTTTAGCCTCAGACAAAGGTGTCAAATATGTATGAAACCCACTGGACTCAAGAACACTAGCACAACAAACATACGCCTGCTTTCTAGCTCTTTTTAGTGCAAATACACTGGCAGGGTCCAAGTTCTGAAGGAGATCCATAAGGGAAAAATGGTTATCAATAGCTGAAAAGAGTTGAAATGGCACAAAACCCTGTACCTCAGAAAAAGGAAATGTGTCTGGAGACCAAAGAGTTCCACAAAGCTAAACACACAGTAAAGAATTTACTCCCAACTCCAGACTTGGGCTTTGCTGTTGCTGGTGGGGTTTCAAGGTAAAGGAGACCTTGCAGGTGACAAAATGAGCACTTATTAAAGATATCTGCTCCAATCACACATTCTAAAACATGGTCTTAGAATTTCTAAGAAGTTTCAGATGTTTATACACACTGTAACTTTTATAGACAGTGCCACTTCACTAAGGAAGAACATCTCACCACTTACTACATTAGATACTAAATACAACTAGAAGGCACTAGATCCTATAAGCTCTAGAACGATGATAAACCCGTTCTTCCTTTGCACAATGGAGTCAATATTGGGATTATGGATTCTCATGTGGCCATTAGTTTTGCAATCAGCAACAAAATTTACAAGTTTGCTCATTAGACAGTATCTTTCTCGTTAACCTTATCTTGGGTTCCTTGACCAAGTACAATTCCGTGTTTCTGTCTAAATACAATTCTAAAGTTACCTATGAAATTCTAAGAGCACATTTTAGAATGTTCTAAACCCTCCTGCCAGGTTTTCATTTACCTTTTAATACACTGACCTTTTGACTATTCACAAAATGACTGTTTTTCTCAAAATAATTCCATTTCAAGGAAAAGACTAGATCTTCTTAAAACATCTAGTGAACATTTTACAAAAGCAATGCAATATCTGATATACACAATGCTGAATTTGTTTTAGTCTCTGTTCAGTAAGTATGCAATGTACTGCAAACAGTCATTCTCTGAGCCTGGGTGGCTCAGTAGGTTAAGTGTCTGCCTTTGGCTCAGGTTGGGAGAGAGTCCCGCATTGGGCTCCTTGCTCAGCAGGGAGCCTGCTTCTCCCTCTCCCTGCTGCTCCCCCTGTTTGGTGTGCTTACTTGTTCTCTCTCCTTCTCTGACAAATAAATAAATAAAAATTGAAAAAAAGAAAACCTGGCAGGAAAATAGTCAACTCTTTTGATTTTTGTCCTTACATCAAATTTTTAAAGTGGGCCTTAAAAACCTTGATAATTACTAGTTAAATTCTATAGAAATAGTTACAAATAACAGGCATTATAATTAAAAACTTTTTTAAACAGAGAAACTTTCCAATACTATGTTGAACAAGAGTGGTGAGACTGGGCATCCTTGTCGTGTCCCTAATCTCAAAGGGAAGGCTGTCAGCTTTTTCCCATTGAGCATGATATTTGCTGTGGGTTTTTCATAGATAGATTTTATGAAGTTGAGGAATGTTCCCTCTATCCCTATACTTTGAAGCGTTTTAATCAGGAACGGATGCTGGATTTTGTCAAATTTTTTTCTGCATCAACTGAGAGGACCATGTGGTTCTTCTCTCTTTTCTTATTGACTTGTTCTATCACATTAATTGATTTGAGAATGTTGAACCACCCTTGCAACCCAGTGACAAATCCCACCTGGTCATGGTGGATAATCATTTTAATGTACTGTTGGATCCTATTAGCTAGGATCTTGTTGAGAATATTGGCATCCATATTCATCAGGGATATTGGTCTGAAATTCTCCTTTTTGGTGGGGTCTTTGCCTAGTTTGGGGATCAAGGTAATGCTGGCTTCATAAAAAGAGTCTGGAAGTTTTCCTTCTGCTTCAATTTTTTGAAACAGCTTCAGGAGAATAGGTATTATTTCTTCTTTGAAAGTTTGGTAGAATTTCCCAGGGAATCTGTCAGGTTCTGGGCTCTTGTTTTTTTGGGAGGTTTTTGATCACTGCTCCAATCTTGTTAATAGATATTAGTCTATTCAGGTTGTCAATTTCTTCCTGATTTAGTTTTGAAAGTTTATAGTTTTCCAGGAATGCATCCATTTCATCTAGGTTGCTTAACTTATTGGCATATAACTGTTGATAATAATTTCTGATGATTGTTTCTATTCCCTTGGTGTTAGCTGTGATCTCTCCCCTTTCATTCATAATTTTATTAATTTGGGCCTTCTTTCTTTTCTTTTGGATTAGTTTGGCCAATGGTTTATTGATCCTATTGATTCTTTCAAAAAACCAGCTTCTAGTTTCATTGATGCATTCTGCTGTATCTCTAGTTTCTATCTCATTGATCTCTACTCTAATCTTGATTATTTCCCTTCTTGTGTGTGGGGTTGGCTTAATTTGTTGTTGATTCTCCAGTTCTTTAAGGTGTAAAGACAGCTGGTGTACTCTGGATTTTTCAGTTTTTTTGAGGGAGGCTTGGATGGCTGTGTATTTCCCTCTTAGGACTGCCTTTGCTGTATCCCATAGGTTTTGGACCAAAGTATCTTAATTCTCATTGTTTCCATGAATTGTTTAAGTAGTTCTTTAAAATTTCATGGTTGATCCAAGCATTCTTAAGCAAGGTGGTCTTTAGCTTCCAGGTGTTTGAATTCCTTCCAAACTTTTTCTTGTGGTTGAGCTCCAGTTTCAAAGCATTGTGATCTGAGAATATGCAGGGAATAATCTCATTTTTTTGGTACTGGTTGAGCCCTGATTTGTGACCCAGTATTTGGTCTATTCTGGAGAAGGTTCCATGTGCACTCCAGAAGAATGAGTATTCTGTTGTTTTAGGGTGGAATCTTCTGTATATATCTATGAGGTCCATCCAGTCCAATGTGTCATTCAATGCTCTTGTTTGTTTATTGATTTTCTGCTTGGATGATCTGTCTATTACTGAGAGTGGCATGTTAAGATCTCCTACTATTAATGTATGCATATCAATATGACTCTTTATCTTGATTAACAGTTTTCTTATGTAATTGGCTGCTCCCATATTGGGGTCATAAATATTTATAATTGTTAGATCTTCTTGGTGGATAGACCCTTTAAGAATTATGTAGTGTCCTTCTGTATCTCTGACTACAGTCTGTAGCTTAAGATCTAACTTATCTGATATGAAAATCACTACCCCAGCCTTCATAGTATTAGAAGTCCTAGCAACAGCAATCAGACAACAAAGAGAAATAAAAGGTATTTAAATTGGCAATAAAGAAGTCAAACTCTCTCTCTTCGCAGATGACATGATACTTTATATGGAAAACCCAAAAAGACTTCACTCCCAAACTACTAGAACTCATTCAGCAATTCAGTAATGTGGCAGGTTACAAAATCAATGTACAGAAATTAGTCGCTTTCTTATACACTAACAATGAAAATACAGAAAGGGAAATTAGAGAATTGATTCCACTTACTATAGCACCAAGAACCATAAGATACCTGGGAATAAACCTAACCAAGAGGTAAAGGATCTGCACTCGAGGAACTACAGAACACTCATGAAAGAAATTGAAGAAGACATAAAAAGATGGAAGATCATTCCATGCTCATGGATCAGAAGAATAAACATTGTTAAAATGTCTATACTACCTAGAGCAATCTATACTTTTAAAGCCACTCTGATCAAAATTCCACCAGCATTTTTCAAAGAGCTGGAACAAACAATCCTAAAATTTGTATGAAAACAGAAGAGAACCCGAATTGCTAAGGAAGTGTTGAAAAAGAAAAGCAAAACTGGGGGCATCACGTTGCCTGATTTCAAGCTTTACTACAAAGCTGTGATCACCAAGACAGCATGATACTGGCATAAAAACAGACACATAGACCAGTGGAACAGAGTAGAGAGCCCAGATATGGACCCTCAACAATATGGTCAAATAATATTTGACAAAGCAGGAAAAAATATACAGTGGAAAAAAAGACAGTCTCTTCAATAAATGGTACTGGGAAAATTGGACAGCTATGTGTAGAAGAATGAAATTCGACCATTCTCTTACACCATACACAAGGATAAACTCAAAATGGATAAAAGACCTCAATGTGAGGCAGGAATCCATCAGAATCTTAGAGGAGAACGTAGGCAGTAACCTCTTCGACATTGGCCACAGCAACTTCTTTCAAGACACGTCTCCAAAGGCAAAGGAAGCAAAAATGAAAATGAATTTTTGGGACTTCATAAAGATCAAAAGCTCCTGCACAGCAAAGGAAACAGCAAAACAGAGAGGCAACCCACGGAATGGGAGAAGATATTCACAAATGACATTACAGACAAAGGGCTGATATCCAAGATCTATAAAGAACTCCTCACACTCAACACACACAAAACAGATAATCGTGTCAAAAAATGAGCAGAAAACATGAACAGACACTTCTCCAATGAAGACATACGAATGGCTAACAGACACATGGAAAAAGGTTCATCATCACTAGCCATCAGGGAGATTCAAATCAATACCACATTGAGATACCAGATACAACCTTACACCAGTTAGAATGGCCAAAATTAACAAGACAGTAAACAACAAGTGTTGGAGAGGATGTGGAGAAAGGGTAACCCTCTTACACTGCTGGTGGGAATGCAAGTTGGTGCAGCCACTTTGGAAAACAGTGTGGAGATTCCTTAAGAAATTTAAAATAGAGCTATGCTATGACCCTGCAATTGCACTACTGGGTATTTACCCCAAAGATACAGATGTAGTCAAAAGAAGGGCCATCTGTACCCCAATGTTCATAACAACAATGGCCACAGTCGCCAAACTGTGGAAAGAACCAAGATGCTCTTCCGCAGACGAATGGTTAAGGAATATGTGGTCCATATATACAATGGAGTATTATGCCTCCATCAAAAAGGATGAATACCCAACTTTTTTATCAACATGGATGGGACTGGAAGAGATTATGCTGAGTGAAATAAGTCAAACAGAGAGATTCAATTATCATTTGGTTTCACTTATTTGTGGAGCATAAGAAATAACATGGAGGGGGCACCTGGGTGACTCAGTGGGTTAAAGCCTCTGCCTTCAGCTTGAGTCATGATCCTAGGATCCTGGGATCAAGCCCTGCATTGGGCTCTCTGCTCGGAGCCTGCTGCCCCTCCTCTCTCTCTGCCCACCTTTCTGCCTACTTGTCATCTCTGTCTGCCAAATAAATAAAGAAAATCTCTAAAAGAAAAAAAAAATAACACCAAGGACATGGGGAGATGGGGAGGAGAAGGGAGTTGGGGGAAACTGAAGGGGGAGACAAACCATGAGAGACTATGGACTCTGAAAAACAATCTGAGGGTTTTGGAGGGGTAGGGGGTTGGAGGTTGGGTGAGCCTGTTGGTGGGCATTATAGAAGGCACGTATTGCATGAAACATGGGGTGTGGTGCATAAACAATGAATTCTGGAACACTGAAAAGAAATTTTAAAAATAAATAAAAATTTTAAAAAAAAAAGAAAGAAACCAAGAAACTTTCCCCCAAAGTCAAATTTCCTTTTAGTTGCCAGATGATAATCCCACCAGGATGAAATGGATAAATTCTGTAGAATCAGAGAAAAAACATATCTTAAGTGATTGCTCAGCTAGTCTACCATTTTACAGATATGGTCTGCAGAAAATCCATTCTTGAATTTCCCTTAATTTCATTTAGTATTTTATTCTGGAAATTAAGAAACATTTCAACAACAACAACAACAACAACACCAATAAAACTTTCTTATGGCTAACCTTGGATCCTTTGGGTAATAAATTAAGGTAATATTCTTTAATTTTTATTTTAGCCAAGATAGAAAAATGGCTGATCAACATCCCCACTGCTAACATTTCATATACATGAACATCATTCTTCATGCAGGCTTTTCTTTAACTAGTGGTAGCTCTCTTATTTTTGGAGATTTGTGTGTTTGGTTAAATATATATAACATAAAATTTACCATTTTAAGTGTACAACTCTATGGCATTACGTACATTCACATTGTTGTGGAGCCATTACCACCATCCATCTTTTCATGTTTCCCAACTGAAACAGTACCCATCAAACTATAACTTCTCATTTCCCCCTTCCCTAGCCCATGGCAACCTCCATTCTACTTTCTGTATCTATGAATCACACCACTTTAAGTCCATGATATAAGTGAAATCATACAATATCTGTCCTTTTATTTCTAACTTTTTTCACTCAGGAAAATGTCTGCAAGCTTCATCCATCTTGTAGCATGAGTCAAAATCTTTCCTTTTCAAGGCTGAATCATACTCCATTGTATGTATACACTACATGTTACTTATCCATTCATTCACTGGTAGACACCTAGCTTGATTTCACCTTTAAGGCTTACTGTGAATAACGTTGCTGTAAACATTGATATGAAAGTATCAGAGCTCTTGCTTTCAATTCTTTTAAGTATATACCCAGAAGTGGAATCACTGAGTTACATAGTATTTCTATGTTTAATTTTTTTTGAAGAACTGACATGCCATTTTCTATAGACACTGTTTTTACTTTATTTTTTCAGTGTTCCAAGATTCATTGTTTATGCACCACACCCAGTGCTCCATGCAATACATGTCCTCCTTAATACCCATCACCAGGCTTACCTAACCCCCAACTAACAGCTTTTTAAAAAACTACAAGCATTATATTCTTTTCTAGTATTAACCTAGATTTTTACTAAATCACTTATTTCCCCAAATTTTCAATGTCCCTCCTAAAATGTGATACCCCAAACCAGAAATCATACTTGAGCCTGTCTTGACTTGTAGATGAGGCATGATTTCTCCATTCCTATCTGCTGTCTTTCTTTATTTTATTTTTTTCTGCAATATAGTCATTTTTTTTCAATTTTTAAAATTTAGTTTATTTAAACCAAAAACAAAACAATTCACCTTTTAAACACACACAGTTTTCACCCTTGTTTTTAGAAGTACTGGACTGTAATTTGTTGTGTTTTGAAATAAAACCTTTCTCATCCTCCACCTATACTTCATATTCAAACTCACCTTTATGCCAGGCAATAGTGCTTTCACCTATGTACCTCATATGAAAATTGGAGCACAAATAATTAGCTCAGGGTTTATAAACACCCTTCATACATTTATGTGTATGGACCAGTATACACATCTGTCTGTCTATTTTAAATAAAAATTCCTTTTCTCCAAAATACTACTGAGTACTTGCATGTTAATTTTCACATCATGTACAATAAAAACTATAATTGGTGCTGTAATATGGTTAAATGCTTCTTTACTGAAAAAAAAAAGTGATTCTGATATCCAAAATCCAGCTTATTTTGACTAAGGCTGATGATGTGAAGTGAAAATTGTTGCCTAGTGTTCAGGAGTCTGATATCTATTTCCAGGCAGAAGTTAAGCTCTAAATCTCATAAATGCCTATAATCAAAATGCTGGGGAAAAGTTAATATTCTTAAGTGTTACCTTGCTTGCTTTGAATTGCACCTCTACTGCCTTTAAAGTTTAGCATCTGGCCCCACAATCATTATTCAGGAAAATTGGCTAATATTACTTTCTTCTTAAATGTGACTAAATTTAATATTCAAACCCTGTGTGGAGGTAAGGCTGTTTCTCTTATTTTAGTGGAGAATCCTTTGTAGTGGTCATCCTCTATTAACGGTCATGAATCTTAAAACAGGATAGTCTTCTGTTAAAAACTAAATATTTGGTGGTCTTCATGTTGTCTATAAACTCATTAATGCAAAATTTAAATAAACTAAAGATTAAAATGCATTTTTGTTATATCTGAATTTTATCTTTTCACAGTTAATAAATTTGAAGTAAACTGTCTTATAAATCTTTTTTATAATTTGGTGGGAGAAGTAACAGAGCGGCAAGGTACCACCATTGGGCTAGATCGTAATGCATTTCGAAACATCCTGCACGTGACATTTGGAATGACAGATGACATGATTATGGACAGAGGTAAGAAGACATGCAATATTCAAATGTGTCAGATCCACCACAACTGGGAAAAAAATTGGGAGTTTGGACAGTCTTGGTAGGAAGCTTAATGTTCTGAATTCCCAATTTCACTTGAATATAAAAAATTAATTTGTGTATTCAGAGGGAAGGGTCATAGGGAAGTGATTCTATGTACTCTATTCTGTGTATTTAAGAAAAGAACAAAGCCAAGCTTGAATAATTAGTTTTTCCTTACTTTATATCCATAAACCTGAAATATTTCTATTTCTACTTAGTAAATATAATAATGAAAAGAACAATTTTAAAAGAACATAAATTTCCTTATATCATCAAAACTATTTCAATAAAAAGTTATAACTTTATCAATTGTATAGTAGCATTTCTTTTCTTGAGTAAGAAAAATATAAAATCACATATTTTATGTTAGCATATCAACACATTTAGTATATCAATATATTCATATATTAGTAATTATTGATTAGTGTATTTAGATACTCAGAATTTACTTTGTTTCCATAAAATATGAAAGGAATATGTGAAAGTTTAAATAAAAGAGTTTTGCAGTGTTATATCTTAGTTTCCTTCTTTGTCAAATGAGCATGTCAGACCATCTGATCCTGAAGTTTTGTCCACATTTTAAAAGTGGGTAGCACCAGTGTAAATATACTACTGAGAACAAAAATGCTGCACGGGTATTATGTTGTACTTCTTTCTTAGTATTCCGAGGTTTTGATAAGGACAACGATGGCTGTGTAAACGTATCAGAGTGGATTTATGGATTATCAGTATTTCTTCGAGGAACTTTGGAAGAAAAAATGAAATGTAAGATTTCAGGTTACCATATTGCTTTATACATTAGGATTAACATATCTAAAGAATGTACATCCATGTCTTCCTAGCCAGCCAGTAAAATAGGTTTGTCTTTCAGTTGGTTGGTTCGAATCTCCATTAGCTTCTTTTATGGAGCAAATTCAAGTCAATGATAAAGATTGAAAAAAATTAATACCAAGGAAAATCAAAAGATTCTGAGGAGTAATTCATGCCAAGCAAGACTGCATAAGCATATACTATACATGCTAACTATATACATATGGATTTATGTATTAATGTACATAAGGTAAATATTGTTACCTGAATTATTAACCATGGAAGTAGAGAACATTGATTAGAGTGTTCTGATTCTTATTTAATTCTTAATTCATTCTGATGAACTCTGTTTAAGGATCATATTTCATTCAGTTTTCCAAGAATTTCAAGATGAAATGGTCAAATCATTGTTCCTTAGCATGGTTACTCTTAGCTGAGTGAGTGTAAGGAGCCATTTTCTAAGGGTTGTTGACCATATTCAGCTATTGTACATTAAGCATTTTCTATGGAAATCAGATTGCACTTAGTCCTGCAATGTTGACATGAATATTCCCAAAACAGACCTTGGCCTTGAACATTTTGTCAGAGCAAATATTCCCTTAATCATAGTATCAAATTCATAATTGGTTATTTTTTTAAAAGATTGCTTTGAGGTGTTTGATTTGAATGGTGATGGATTCATTTCAAAGGAGGAAATGTTCCATATGTTGAAGAACAGCCTACTCAAACAGCCATCTGAAGAAGACCCTGATGAAGGAATTAAAGATTTGGTTGAAATAACACTTAAAAAAATGGTAAATATGGGAAATTTAAGGTTTTATATTGAAACTTACAGGCCAGAATGGGACAGAAATAAGAATTCAAATTGTAATAACTATCAGTTTCCTGCTTGGTGAATAAAACACTTGTGCTTTTTAATTGTAATGATAAAAGTTCTTTTCAATTTCATTATTTAGTCCCTCATTTTTCCAACACCTTTCTTCTATCAATACTTGACCATGAAAAGACAGTTTGTGTTTGCGATAACTGTTATACATGTTGACTGATACATGGCCGGTCATCCCCTAGGACCATGACCATGATGGGAAGCTGTCTTTCACAGACTATGAACAGGCTGTAAGAGAAGAGACCCTTCTACTAGAAGCTTTTGGACCATGTCTTCCTGATCCAAAGGTAATGATATTACTTTCACTGAACAGTGACCAATATATAATGTAGGATCAATAACCCAAAACTTCTTGGTTTGGTGAGTGAAGGATCAGATGAATTACATTCACCCACAGAGAATAGTTTCTAAGTAGAGAAAGCCAACCGAAGAAGAACATGCTGGTTCATTTCATAATACTGCTGTAGCCTAATGGTATTTTTTTCCCATTCATTAACTCATTCATTCATGTAAGAAGCAATTATTAAAGCATAATGTATTCCAGAATCACAGATGAAAGGCTTCATGTCTGCATTCAAGGACTAATATTTTCTTAGGAAAAACCAATGTGAAAATAATTACACAACAGTGTGATAAGTATTACTATAATAACAATGACTTGTTCAGTGCTTCATCTATGTCAGGCAATGTCTTAAGCACTGCCCCATATTAACTTCCTTAAATCCCCCTAACAATCCTATGAAGGATGCAGTATTATTCATCTTCATTTTATAGATGAGAAAACTGAGGCTCAGAGAGTTTAGGCAAGTCGTCCAAGTTCAGTCACCAATTATGGAGTATCCTGCATGCACTGGTGCTCAAGTCTATAAAGATATGTGTATTAGAGGGTTGCAGTAGTCGAGGGCATCTAATCCAGCTGTATGGAATCACTGGTGAATGGGTGATGACACAAGGAAGGCTTACCTGGGTTGTTAGGCCAGAATAGCTAGCCAGGTCAAAATAGAGAAGAGCAACCTAAGCAAAGTAATGGCATATGCATGAGGGTGGGGAAGGGAAAGAGAAACAAATACTATATTAGAAGAGCACTCAGTGTGGTATGAGATTGATTTTGAGGCTGGATATGCATAGAAGAGCCAAGGCCAGTGGAGCTTGGAGCCTGGATTTTGTCTTGAAACTCATGAGGATTAATTGGAAGATTTTAAGTTGGTGGAGTGATGTGATATATAAATATTACCATTATCTACCTTCCCAATCTCCAGCTGCCTACTCAACATGCCAGTAGATAATCTCAGTAAACTCTTGGTTTTCACCTAAAAATCATTCCCCACCATCTTCCCTGCCTCAATAAATGACACTCCTGTATGCTAAGTTTTAGTCAGAAACCTGTCACCCTTAATTTCCCTCTTAGAGCACTACTACTTCAGCTACTACTTCAAAATATATCCCTGAATATAACCTCTTTTCCACACGTCTGTGATTGCCAACCTAAATCAAGCTGCTACCCAGTCACCCAGCCTAGATCATTAGTTTTGTTGCTTCTACTGTTGTCCCCTACTGGCTAATCTCCACAACATCCAGTATATTTGGAAACACAGAAGCTGCCATGCACCTCCCTTGCCTAAAACCCCCAGTGTGTCTGAAGTCTATTCAGTGGGCCTCCTTTTCTCTCTCCAACCATGGTCTCCTGCTACCTTCCCAATGGAGGGGTCGTGCCCCAGAACCATTCCAGCCACCTTGCTGTTCTCCCTAGGTGCCTTTGCAATTAAAGTAGCCTCTGTCTAAGCATCCTGTCCCCAGACCTTCACATCCCTCAGACCCTCACTCCATTCAGTCTCCGCACAGATGCCATCCACTGTCTTAATGACTCCTCTCCCTCCACTCCTCACCACTGCCTCTTTCTTCTTCATAGTTCTTATCATTATATAGAATATATTTACTCATTTACTTATTGTCTGTCTTAACACATGGATGGGAAAGAATGAAAAGGAAAAGGAAAGAAGGAAAGAAAGAAGAGAAATTACCTTAATCCCTCACCTACTTCTATTTCCTGTCCAATGGCTTTCTTTTTCACAGTCAAATGTCATGGGAGAATTGTCTATATTTATGACCTACACTACCGTGGCTTCTTTAGCATACTCCTGAAACAGCTCTTGCTGAGGTCACCACACCCTACTTGTTAATAAATCCCAAGTGAAGTCTTCTCGTCTTGCTGTACTACATCCTTTCCCCACCCCAGCTCTCAGTGCAGCTTCTTGGCTCCAGGAAGCACCTCCACTCCAGCAGTAGCCTGGCTGTGACACCTCGTGGCCTCCTGGACTCCAGAGCCCTGGTGTGCTTACCCTGTTACACCCTTCCTTCAGTGAATTAAGCTCAGTTTCTGGTCATCCATCCACTAGGCTGGAGGCTCCTAGAGAGCTGTGTCATGTGCCTTACTCATCTTTGTGGCCCCAGACCAAGTGTCATGTTGGAACATAGTACTGTACCTGTGAGTGTACAATGCATGAGTGTCACAGGTTCTTGGTCCCCACTCTTCTTTAGTTAACTTGTGGCTCTTCAAACATAAAGGAAACATACAGAACAATTTGTTTTTCTTACCTTTTTTGGAAGTCTTTACTAATTTGAGCACATTTTTTACAGAGTCACATGGAATTTGAAGCTCAAGTATTCAAAGATCCGAGTGAATTCAATGATATATGAATACCTAAATGTGTTGTCTCAAATGAGTAAAAAAAGAGGTGCATGCATGTTGTTTATTTTTTCCACTTAGCTCAAAAAGATGGTGTCGAATTTTGTGCTTGGGGTGGGGAATGGGACTCACCAACATGTATCATTTAACTATGGTGCAAGATGCAAGTGAAATAAATGGAAGACAGGAAGTCCCTTATTAAGTATTGGGTTTGGCAAGACAAGTTCACATTGCCAGATATTTTATCACATAGACCATTTGTTGAAGCTTATAACTACCATAAAACACTTGTATTAATGAAATGAGTAGAGATTACATAATCACGAATTATTAAGGCAAATATTCTTCATGTCAGAAAAATGCTGGCTATACATTTAAAAGTCAGTGAAACTACTGAATTTCCTTTGGAACAGTAAATGATGAAGATAGCATTTAAAAAAGTGACATTTAGCACATAAATACCTGTCTGCTAGGCATTGAGGGACATTCAGAGAGCTGAAAGCAATATATGCATACTATTGTTTGAGATTTTGCCAGACTAATCTGCATAGACAGTAAGCATCTGAGGGCAGGGGTCCCTACAGCCATCATTATGTCTGTCACAGCAGTTAGCAGAGTCCTTTGCACAGAATGGGTCCCCAGTAAACATTGCAGATAGAAAAGTACAAAATGCTACCAGATAAATCCAAATTCTTGCTGATCAGAGGAGAAAGAAAGTGCTGTTTTTGTAAATAATGGATTATGTAGCCACAGCTTTCAGTCTATCTCTGGAGTCACTCCAATGCTCTCCACACCATTGCAGTTGCTTTCACAACCCCCTGTCTTCCCCAGCTTCCTGTCTCTCTCCACCTCAGCCCCACCCCTTGTCCCCATCCCCCTGACTGGGTGCACCTTGGTGTCACCCCCGACCTCTTGGAATCCCCTCAGGTACCCCTTAACAGGAAACACATCACATCATGTCCCACCAGCAATGAAGTCCTGAAGACAGAACTGCTTCCTCCATCCAGCAGGTGCCTGTAGGCGTTTGATGCAACATGAGAAAGATGGGACCTACTTGGTTTCCAATAGCTACTGTTTACCTCTTTCTTAAATGCTTGCAGGCAGCTGAGAGAAGTATTATGCACATAGTCCTCTGTCCATATATAAACATTCAGAGACTATTTGGGACATTAAATCCCTTTTGTTACTATATATGTGTCAAGTTTAAGCAAAAGTACACCTTGTATTAAAAAAAAATGGATTGTGACAAATAAATCTAATAAATGATTCCATGATATAAAAAGTGTTTTACTGTCTAAGTATTTTCTTAAAATTTTAGATTCTTAGGTAGATATGTAGATGGAGTTTGACACAATTTTTCTACCTTGAGTAAGTATAAATAGTGAAACACAATGCTTTTAATTTTTAAAATTTATATTTTTCTGATTACAAAGTAACAGAAGTTCACTGAAGACTCAAAAGTTTAGGAAATTAAAAACTAAAATTTAAATATCCGTCAATATTCTGGTATAGATCCTTTCAGGCTTTCTTAAGGCATTTGTAAGTATAGTTGTATTTTTGCTCAGAGTATACCTAAGCTGCTTTTTTTATGGACCACTGTCTCATAGCACTTTCTCAGATTAATTAATATCTGTCTGCTGCCTGACTTGTAATGGCTACCTGGCCTTCCATAACAACAGACCTTATTAAAGCACTTCCCTGTCATTGAAATTTCAGTTGTTCCCACATTTTTTTTTACAAATAATTCCCAAGTGAACTGTCCTTGTAGATAAATCTTCTCATGTTCATTATTGCTTGCTTAATCAGGACAAGTTTTTAAAAGTGAAAGTTCGGTTAGAGGTCCAGCTTTGAGGTTTCTAGCGCATGTTGCCAGATTACCCTCCAAGAAGGTGTGATGTGCCTGGTGCATGAGGTGCTGATTCCCCCTTCCCTGTGGTGCACATTCTTTTCACCTCTTTGCTGATGCTGTGGACCATAATTGACCATGGTTTTAATTTATCATTTAAAAAACTAATCTTATACATCCGTACCTAAACTTTTTATTGTAGATTGTGTAAAAATTGACTTACATGTGAATAACCCTATTTTATTACTTGATATTATTTAAAACTAAAAAGCCTTTTTAGAAAAGTCTAAATAATTTTAGTGAAACTTAAGACGGTGTCGGTACAGACTCATTAGCTCTGTTGGAGAACTTCCCCGTACATTACAGAACACACCCCCTCTGCTGTTTCTCATTGTATCTGCCCAAATCATTTCCTTCTGTGACTATATCTGGATTTCCGGTTTCTTTTAATTTTACTACGGTAGCAACTCATAAACGATTTTAACACTGAAAATTCTTTCAACTTAATAGTAGGGTCATCCAAGTACACAGAGAACCTTTGAGGGAAAACCAGCTTTCCTCTCATTCTGAGCTCCATGGCCGGCTTTGGGCCTTGCCTGCCTGCTGCTAGCCTGCCCTGACTCCAGCCCTCAGGTACAGCCAGCTTTGCTCAGCCCCATCTTTGCCTACCTCTGGATGGCTGGGTTAGGACTACGATAAGCAGTTATAATTTGGAAGGGTGACTATAGCCTTCCTCTCAACTGGGTCCTCAAAGCGTTGGCTTCCCCTTCTCCCTGTGCCTTGGGAGGACCAGCAGAAAGCCAACCAGGACCCTCTGAGAGATGTACACATTGCTTTGCTCACAGCATGGAGGGTGTCTATCTGGGAAACAAGTACATTTTTAAAACAACAGGATTTAAAAACTACCACTGAAAACTGGTAGTCCTACATTCTTAACCTGCAAATATCTTTGTGTACAAGATTGCACTTGTTAAGAAGCCAAGCCTGCAATTGCTTGCATCATAAAGTCATCCAAAACATTCACCAAGTTCCCACTTTGTGCTAAACCATGGGGGTGAATATAGTCTAAGTCAGTTGCCCTGCTCTCACCTCACTTGTGTTGTAAAATGAGGACTCTATACCATGTGATGGCAGTGTCATCACCTTTACTATTTGGATGCAATTGCAATCTGTCTCCTGCCCTTCTCAACCCTCCCCCCAAAAAGTTATATCATTTTTAATTAAAAGAGATTGTTAAAGGTAATTAAAATCAAATATACTTTGAAACCGTGGAGATAGCCATATCTGGGAAAGGCTGCTCTGACCCACTCCTTGGATTGCGCATTTTCACTGACTACATTTTATCTGTGTTCATTTCCTCACAGAGTCATCCCCAGCTCTTCTACAGTCATCTAGAGCTGATGGTAATTCTCATGTACTGTGGCCAAGAAAGGGTGGCAATTGCATTTGACAAGGAAAGATTATTATAAACTACCTATAATAAAATAGAAGCTTAAACTCTGCATATATTAATTACAATTTGGCAAATCTTGAGGATTATGTAAATCTGGTAATATTTCAAAAACAGGGAAAAGTGATGCATTTATCTTTTCTGATTCAGTGACTATGTTCTCTGTTAGAATGAAGCAGATGATCTTCTCAAATGTTTTCCAGTCTCAGTTACCATTGAAGGAGGAGCCAACCTAAATACATACCAAGCAAATCAAAGTCCTCTTCTCATGAGGTCTCTCAAGGAAACCTGCCCAGTTTTTAAGGGGAGCAAAAAAGGAAGGAAGTCTTAACAGTGAAATATCCTGCATGAAACAATTCTTCGGCATTTGAAATGTCTTTATCAGAGTGCCATTAACCTGAGCAATGGTTAACTGTTCACAGTTCCATCAGTTGGTAATTTGTGGCTTTCTGTGTACCTCCTGCCTCCTACCTAATCCATCAAGAAAATATTCCTCCCCCTAAGACACACATCCTCTTGTTTATTTTCACCTCCCTCCTGCCTGTTAAGCTCTACACTGCCCCTATTATGTGGCCCCAGCCAGACTCACAGACAGTTCCCTGGGTGAGAAGCTTGTCAACTTAAAGGCATTTGAATAAATTGGGTGAAACACAGGCTGTCCTCCATTTAACCTGAGGTGCACCTTCCTGTCTCCTGTCCCCATCTCCAAAGTCAGCCCAGAGCTGGGCAACAGTGAGCCTGAAGATGGAGAATGGCACAGAAGGAAGCAGAGGAATTTACAAGTTCTCCTGCAAGAGACATTTAGAGCTTGTGTCACTACCTCCTGGTAGGAGTGATTAACTCCAAAGCCCAGGGAAGTCCAGGAGAGTAATTAAAACCATTTGGCCAAGTCCTCCTTAATGACTCCTTCAGAAATACAAGAGAGTCAGAAAGTGGAATAAAATGACTGCTACAATCTCAATAATACATTATACAACAATCCAGAGAGCACTTTTGTTCCAGGTATTATGCTAAGTAATTTATATTTATTATCTTACTCATTTCTCACAACTACCCTAAGAGGTAAACATAAACATTACTTACTGTCTTTATCCAACATATTGAGAAAATTGGAGTTTAAGAAAATCAAGAAACTCCTTCAACATCTTAACCTGGTCAAGAACAAAGCCAAGATTCCGACCTCAACTAGTTCTAACATTGAACATGTTTCTCTAAAGCAATATGTATTCTTCTTGCCATACATACTCCTGATGTTTGAAATTACTGAGCACCCTACTTCCTGAATAATCTTCAAATTGCCCCTTCAAGGCACCCTAGAGGTACGAGGTACCTGGCATGCTAGTGAGTGAGACTGTTGACAACTCTCTTCAAGGGCACTGTTCTCATCTTTCCTTCTTTAGCTGAAGTTTACAATTTGGATGTAAACCTGCCTACATTTGGAACCAATAGAAATCTAAACATTGTATTGGAACTGTGCCTTGTCAAGAGTCCACATGTGGTAAATGTGATTCATGAATGGTGGCCAAGCTGTTAGACTCTGTGGCTCCATGGTCAGCACACGGTTAGAAGTAAGATGAGTGTCAACCAACCAACCGTTTTCTCCAATGAAAGGAGAAAACAGAGGCTGAAACCATTGCTGGTTTGTGAGGAGGACAGAAGTCCTTCCGAAAGGAGAGGAAATGGCTGAACTCCTCAAATGGAGAATGTTTCTTGGGCCATCTTGGGTAGTACCAAAGAAAGATGTCTATCTGAAGAAGATGTCAATGATGAGAGGACATAATTTAGTGGCAAACATTAGCAATGATGATATGGCCTTTCCTGGGTGCCAGTAACTGGTCCAAGGATGCTAATCGAGGTGGAAATGAATTTGTA